ATTAAACTTTAACTGACTGCAGTGACTGTGGAGAATCTCCTGGAAAGACTTCTGAAACCCTCAGTTTAAAATGTAAATGCACGTGGTAAGTTTGGAGTTATTCTTGTTGTACCATGTATTCTTGTAGCTCCTGGGGATGTTGTAAAGTCTGAGAATTTATTTTGACATGCATAAATGTTTGCCTTTTGACTTCCTTTAATTATTTTTTTCTATCATTGGGTTCAAATGAAAATGCTTGAAATCAAAATGTTTCCTAGTAAACTTTTTCCTGCTTCTTCTCACACATGGAACTCAAGTCTGTTAAAGGTGAATAAGCATAGCTACTGTCTGGATAAGCAAGAAAGGACTTCTATGGTTGTAATTATTTTTTTTTAATTATTTTGTGTGGTTTTTTTCCTCAAATCATGTTCAGTTGTGGTAATGAGCGTGCTTGAATTAGAAGTTGAAAGTGGGTGCCTGTGTAACCAATAGTGACACTGAGGAATGGAGAGGTGGTGAATGAATATAAAAATGACAGCAGTGTGAAGCAGCCCTTTTTAATTCAGAGCAATAGCCTTTTTAATGACTTTCTTTTTAATAAATAAGAAAAGGTTTTTAAATCTACCTCAGGTTTATGTGTCCAGACCTTCGGTGTCAAAAATGAACAGCAGCCAAATTATGCTCTCAGCTACTTGAACAATGTGTCAGGCTTTTGTGTGGCACCTGCTGCTTGCAAGACAGATTAATTTAAAAATCCTTGGGAAAAAAAGAAGGCAGGAAAGGTTTTCAGGCAGTCTGTATCCTTCCTCTGGTCTTCAGCCTGACTGGAATGACAGTGCCTTTGTCACTGGAGGCAGTATCAGCTCTGAGCCCTTCAAAGATGCTTCCCTTGGGATTGATTTTGGCTTGAGCATAGTCAAAGTCTGGGAGAAGAGAATCACCCCGTGCTTCGGTCTTGGCAGGTGGATGAAAGTATCAAGTAAAAAAAAAAATGGTACTTACCTTAAAAGATATTTAATTTTGAACAGTTGGAACAGAGATGCCACGTTCAAGTACCTGTCTGTCCACACGTGGTGCTGGAGGTGTCCAGCCCCTCAAGCTCTGGAGCTGGGAGGATGTTTGCATGTGCAGGGTGCACACTCACAGCTTCTCCACAGGTTTTGTGAGCAGAAAAAATAGCACAGGATTTCTTCTCCTCAGTTGTTCTCCAGTTATTTTGACTCAAGATGAATTTCTGCAGGCTAATTGAAATCAACTTCTTCAAGGCTTTAGGGAAATGGATTCTGGATTTTAAGTTTTACAGCTTCGTTTTTCATATTCAAACTTTTTAGAGGGATTTTTTTTTTCTCCCTCTGGGTTCATCTGTCTTACTGAAAACTGGAGGTTTGTGTGATAGTAACCATTGATTTCTTCTACTGAAAGAAATCCTTTCTTGATCCCTCTCACTTCCCCTGTGCTTCTTTCCTTGTTTTTCCATGACTTTGCTACTGTCTTCCAGCACCTCCAGTGGGGTTGGGCCTTCCAGGGACTCACACTGTAGGTGTTTTTCTTGGTTAATATTCCTAAAAACTGTTTCATTTCTAGTTTCTGGCTACAAAGGAACCCAAAATTTGGTCTCATTTCTGTGGACTTGGCCTTCAATCCCAAACTAGAATCATAGGATGGTTTGGGTTGGAAGGGACCTTAAAGATCATCTAATTCCAGCCCCCTGCCATGGGCAGGGACACCTTCCATTATCCCAGGTTGCTCCATCCAACCTGGCCTTGGACACTTCCAGGGATGGGGCAGCCACAGCTTCTCTGGGCAACCTGTGCCAGGGCCTCCCCACCCTCACAGCCAAGAATTCCTTCATTACATTTAATCTAAATCTCTCCTTCAGTTTAAAACTCTTTCCCCTTGTCCTACCTCTATCTCCCTGTGTAAAAAGTCGCTCCCCCTCTTTCTATAATCCCCCCTCAAGTACTTGAAGGCTGCTGTAAGATCTCCCTGGAGCCTTTTCTTCTCCAGAAATGTGTGCAGAGTACCTGGAGTTTTCTGTGCCTGGGGAAGATGCACCTATGGAGGTGTCCTTGTGAATGCTGTCAGTGTCAAAGAAGTGTCATGTGGAAGCAAAGCTGCGAGGAATCTGATCCAGAGAGAGATTCCTGTCCCCATGGCTTTATGAGAGACCTTTCATCTCCTGTGTCTGACACTGAGAGGTGCTTTAGGCACAGTCACGTCTCAGTGAAGCTCAGCAACATCCCAGCCAGGTGCCGTGGAGACAGTCCCCAAATGTAGAATGTGTGCTCCTGAGGGACCCAGCAGGCAGAGGAACGAACAAGGAAGAGCATTCCCCTGTGCCATTCCCACTGCCTATTCGGAATTCTGCAGCTTGGCTTCCTCAGACATGCCCTGGTGACTTCCTGACGTTCTGTGACGTCTCTTGGCGTGAAAAGCTCCCGGGGTTGTCAGTTTGAGCACCTCTGCAGCACACAGGAGGTTTATAGGAAAGAGAATGTTATCTCATCCTCAGGAAAACATTTCCCTTCCTCAGGTTCAGTTTCCCTTTGGGATCAGTTTCAAACCCACAGTTTGCATATTTATTTTATTTTAGGATGTTTGTTTCCAGACTTATGGCAGATCGTCTCCAATGACAGGTTTTCGTGTTCCCTGTCTCACTTCTAACACACCCTGGGGCTGTCAGCAGCAGAAGTTCCTTTTGGTTGAACTCTCAAGTATCTTAATAATCTCTTCACTGTCACATAATCACTGAATAGACTCACACAAAATGGTTTGGATTGGAAGGAGCCATACAGTTCATCTCGTTCCAGCCCCCTGCCATGGGCAGGGACACCTTCCACTAGACCAGGTTGCTCCAAGCCCTGTCCAACCTGGCCTGAAAGGCTTCCAGGGATCCAGGGGCAGCCACAGCTTCTCTGGGCAACCTGTGCCAGGGCCTCATCACCTCACAGCCAGGAATTTCTTCCCAATATCCCATCTACCCCTGCCCTCTGGCAGTGGGAAGCCATTCCCCCTTGTCCTGTCCCTCCAGGCCCTTGTCCAAAATCCCTCTCCAGCTCTCCTGGAGCCCCTTTAGTTACTGGAAGGGGCTCTAAGGTCTCCTTGGAGCCTTCTCTTCTCCAGGCTGAACACCCCCAGCTCTCTGCTGGTCACACTTCTCGTGATACAGCCCTGGGCACATTTGGCTCTTTGGGCTGCAAACACATTCCTGGGTCTTGTTGATCTTCTCATCTGCCAACACCCTCAAGTCCTTTTCTTCAGGGGTCCTCTCAATCCATTCCCTGCCCAGCCTTTTTTTGTGCTTGGGATTGCCCTGACCCAGGTGCAGGAGCTTTCACTTGGCTCTGTTGAACTCCATTTGCAGCTCATCAGTTCTTCCATGTCTTGTAGTTGATTTTGATACTCCTTCAATATGCATGTTTAGAAGAACACCATGTTCTTCCCAAGTGAGAGTAATTAATAACGGGCACAGAAAAGCTACTTCTTCCTGTATATATATTTTTTTTTTCCTGTAGAGAGGCTGGACTTGATCCTGGGAGGAGTTTGAGGATCACTCCTCCCTAAATTGCTGTTCTTCCATGTTCATGGAGTTCTCACTAGAAATTGCTGATCTTCCATGTTCATGGAGTTCTCACTAGATTGCTGCTTGCTCTGGCCACCTTAAGCTGCCATCTCTGCTCTTCAAAACCAGGCTTGTTTCCATTCCTGTCTTGCTCTGTCAGTGTAAAACAACGATATAATTACAGTTATTTTTAGTGAATCAGATGTTTACCAGGGCTAATCCTCTCCTAATCCCCTTGTTTCATACAGATTTCATTTAGTTTTTCATCAGTCTGTGTCAAGTCTGTCTGCCTTGGCAAAGAGACAAAAATTATCACAGGAGAAAGGTCACATCATCTGGCTGCATGTGGCTGGTTTGTCCTGTGGCAGAGTTAGAATATGAGATCACGATGGCTCAGGCCTTCTCAGAGTGTTTTTAAAAGAGTATAAAAAATTCATTTGGGTGGTTCAAGTAGGAGACAGGTTAGAGCTCTACTTGCTATGGAAAAAACAAACCCCAAACAGCCCCTCTGGGTGTTTTCCATGACTTTGGACTTTTTAGCAAGACCAATGACAGTTAAATAACAATTTTTTTGGGCACAGGGCTGTTGCTGTTGTCAGCACACCCCATATTAGATGAGAGCTAAGCAGCAGATTTCCAAACTCTGGTGAAATCCGAATTCCTTGTGATACATCTTTGTTGCTGCTCTGCCCCTGCAAGCTCCAAGCCTTGGATGATTTTGATTTGCATTAAAACATTCCTGTTGTGCTTAATCCCGACAATCAGGCAGTGTGTCATGAGGTTTGTCCCAGAGCTCAGTCAGTTCCAAATCTGGAAAACACAGTAACTGCACAGAAAAAAAAAAAGAAAAAAAAAAAGAAAAAAGCACACTGGAGCTCTTAGTGGCTTTTTGAAAGAGCTAAATTCTGTTCTGTGCCAGAAATTGCTCATTCAGAGCCTCACTGGGCTGCTTTTCCAGCTCCTGGATGTTTCTGAACGGAAGAAATGCAGGAGGTTTCTAGTAATGGGGCCTTGAAAGCTTCTGTTAGTGCAGAGCAATCAGACCACAGGATTTCACAGGAGAGAGGACTGAAATTCCACTTTTTTTTAAGTGATGAAAGTACCTGGAGCAGCCACCTGCTCCTCATACCCACCTGCAGTATTTCAAGATCCATTCCCCTGACCCCTGTCCCTGTTTTTTAAGGGAGTATTTTGGGAATCTGCCATCCCAAAATGAGGGTGAGAGGAGATGGATGTGAAGTGTCCTCACAGGTGCTCTCCAAACTGCTGCATGTCCTGGTCAGATTAATCCTAAATGTAAAAATTTCTCAAGGTAAGAAATAATAAGAATTCAGGTATAATGGAGCTCTGTATTTTAACCTGTGTGTAAGTTACCCTTCTCTCTTCTCTCTCTGTTTAAAGAGGATTTTTCTTTTGTCCTTTACCCATATAAATGAAATATTGTTGCTTTTTGCTGCAGCTATTCATAGTCTAAAGTTGAGTCGGAACCACGTGGACTGGCACAGTGTGGATGAAGTGTATCTGTACAGTGATGCAACCACATCCAAAATTGCAAGGACTGTTACACAAAAGTTGGGGTTTTCCAAAGGTAACACTTCTCAGAGTTTGTCAAGAATATTGGAAATACAAGTGTTTTAAGTTTTTTTTTTTTACTTTAACACTAGAGGAAAGTTTGAAGTTTTAGTATGTGAGTAGCCTGCTTTGGCCATTGCATTTTTTTATTTTATGTGAATGTTCAGAGTCCTTAGGTTGTGTATATTATTGTAACTAGATGTGAATTTTTAATTTTAATTTTATGTATAGTATATATTTATTTTATTATATTTTATTTTTAATGCATATTTTATTTTGGCTGTGGCATTTAGCATTACATAACAAGTACATGAAAATATTACAGTGGCAGAGCAGCAGACACTGTAAAATCAGAATTATTACTGTAGTAATATAATATTACAGTTTCCTTTGCAGCCTTAACTTTACCACTGTATACTTGCATATTGTGATGAATTTCTTAAATCCATGATCGTACCTTCGCTCTCACCATCTCCTGCCCTTTTTTTCCATTCATTAAACAGACATATGAACTGAGAGAAGGGGTGAAGCATTTAGAAAAAATTAGAAAAATCGACATTTAGAAAAAATTGTTTGCAGTAGGAATAATTTCCAGTAGGGATTCAGGCTCATTTAAGCTCAGAACTCCCAGTCATAAAGCCAGCAAGGCTGAGATGGTTGGAAGAGAGGATGGTCCCTCTCAAGGAAAAGGCAGATTATTGCCAACCTAGAAAATTGGAATTTTTTTCCCTCTGTCATGTCCTGTGCAGGACAGCTGCCAAAACAAGAACATAAACATCTGTTTTGTTCCTTGGCCTCTGAAGAGGCAAGACCAGGTAATAGGTCTGGCTTTAATCTCCATGCCTCTGTCTTGCAATTAATGCCCTCTTAACCCCTCAGGGCTCTTGGGTGGATACTTAATTAATGTTTGCCAAAAAAATAGTATAATTCAGTGCTTCAGTTCCAGAAAAAATGAAGTAATTTATCCAGAACACGATTTGGAAAGTGTATAATAAATCTCTTGTAAACAATTTGGGGGCAGAAATATTAAATAGAAGACTAAAGCTGTCTTAGGTGAAAAAAGTCCTTAGTGGTTTTGTGGTGTTTTCCTCCTCTTTAGGAACAAAATCAGCTGTTTGTTTCAGTTTTTGAGGCCAGCACTGGTGCACTGGTGCCAGGCTCTGGGTCCCCTCCGTGGGTCTGTCACTAGAGGGGGATGGAGACACACAGTGCCAGTGGGTTTATCAATCCATCAGCACAGCAGGGAGAAAATACCCATATTTACCCTGGGTAATTGATTTTTGGTTTGAGCTGGAGAACGAGTTTGCAAATTTTGAGGTTGGATCAGCTTGAAATAAAACAGGTTTTCCCATCAAAATGAAAAATCGTGAAGGTTTTCAACCAGCTCTTTTAATGGGGGCAGATGGAGTGGTGACACTTAATTACTTACATGGCCAGATAATTTCCATGATTCTTCCATCCGTGGGAGTAAGGTGGAGATAAAAGGAGGTTTAATGATGGAGACACCCAGAAGAAGAGTTTTGTGCTGTAAAAGTGGGTGGACAGTTACACAACTGTTTTCTAATTGTTTTTCGAAACATTTCTCAAATTAGTTCTCTATACAGTGGAAATGGCCTTGTAATTCATTGACTGATACAATTAACATCACCCAGTTGCTGAAATCTTTCAAGAGTTTAAAAGTGGATGTATTTAAAAATATGTGATAGCCCTTTAATCTTACAGCTCTCTGTTATAGAATCTTATTTTCAAAGTGTTTTAACGTGTTGGACTGAGAAAAGCCACGCTTCTGTCAACAGGTAAGACCTTTGTACTTCACAGAATGTGACTGATGTGGGATAATGTTCTTTCTGCAGCTTCCAGTAGTGGGACAAGGCTACATAGAGGCTATGTAGAAGAAGCCACATTAGAAGACAAGCCAGACTAGTCACATTGTGTTTGTTGTGCATGGTATTGGGCAGAAAATGGACCAAGGAAGGATCATCAAAAACACAGCGATGTGAGTGCTTTGTGATGTTTGAAGTAGCCTGAATATAAGTGACAGCACAGCCTTTGGTTTAAGTCAAACCTTTCCCTGTTTCCTTCTCCTCCTCTTTCCCCTGAGTCTTTAATCTTTATGTTGTGGGTACACTGTTTTCTGTGTTAATTGGGTGGTATGGACTCAGGGAGGGCAGCTGGGAGCAAGAAGAGCAAAGATTTAGTCTGGTTTTATGGCCAATACTTGTGACTTTTAGGGAACTGGCCCATGAGAGGACATGGCCTCAAGTTGCACCAGGAGAGGGTCACGTTGGATATCAGGAAGAATTTCTTTATGGAAAGCCTTGTCAGGCACTGGCATGGGCTGCCCAGGGAGGTGGTGGAGTCCCCATCCCTGGAAGTGTTCAGGAAAAGAGTGGACATGGCACTCAGTGCTCTGGGCTGGGTGACATCGTGGGGATTGGGCACAGGGTGGACTTGATGATCTTGGAGATGTTTTCCCACCTAAACAACTGTCAGTGACTTTGCTGAGCAGGGAGAGGTTTTCATTTGGTTGGAATCAAAGGGAATGTAATTTCTACATCGTACCTGGGTGAATTAAGTAGATATCAACTGGGAAGAAAGTGACTGGGCAGAAAAATTTTGCTTAAGTAGTATAGGAAAGTTAATCTCTGAGTGGAATCTCTTGTTGTTCCAGCTGGTTGTCAGAACAGTGAGCAAGCAAAGTGCATACTGGTAAGAGAGGGGAAACAGGGAACTGCCAGGAGTGTTGTCATTCCTAACAGGACAGAAGCCCTTCACGCAGCTGGAAGGTGTTTCTGTGAGACTGTTCATGGAGTTCTGTGCCAGTTGAAAAGTAAAACATGATTGAAATCTTACCAAATCTTTTCAGTTAATGTCTTTTGTGAAAAATGGTTTGAACATGGATTTTGGTTTGACATCTAACTCAGAAAGCCAGTTAGGGTGCTGGTGAATGGGAAGAGAAATCCCTGAGATATGGGGAATTATGTTTCCCAGAGAAGCTGTGGCTACCCCATCCCTGGAAGTGTTCACAGCCAGGTTGGATGGGGCTTGGAGCAACCTGGTCTGGTGGAAGGTGTCCCTGCCCATGGCAGGGGGCTGGAACGGGATGATCTTTAAGGTCCCTTCCAACCCAAACCATTTCGTGATTCTCTGTACCTGAAAAGATGTTTGAATACTAGAAGAAATTGTAAATTGTGGTGACAGCATTGTGGGGGACAAGGTGGCATTGAGGAATCCTTCGTTAGCTGAAAGAAGAGGCTAAAAAAGTGTTAATTACAGATCTGTATGGCACAGATGGTTCAGTCGTGGGCCCCAAATAGTTCCACGTTCCATCAAAGCTGACAGAAACAACGACAGACCCAGTGACTCCTGTGGAAGTGTGTGTAGAGCTGGGACTGTTTTGTGGTAGGAGCTTTGTGAAGCTCCCTTTGAATCCAGGATGGGAATGTAGGTCAGTGCTCATGTGCTCTGTGGTGTGTGCCATCATGTCAGCAGGCTCTTGTGCTCCTGCAGCTCGTTCTGCCACTCCAGTGTCCTCTGGTGTGGCAGAGTAAACTTTCTGGTGTCACTTCTGTGTCATTTGTCATCTCAAAGCAACAACCTGCTGCTCCCCACTCCCCTCGTTCTGCCACTTTGCTGCTCTGTTAGTCATGTTGTTGAAGAGCAAGCAATCCAAACCAGAGAGAAAACACTCCACAGCCCCTGATTAAAAGTTAGTCATGCAATAATAAAAGTTCAATTTTTGTAGGATGCAATTACACTGGGAATGAAAATACCCTAAATATAAGTTGCTGCTTTAACAGCAATGAGAAATAAAACTTCCACCTTGGAATCATTAAGTTTTTCTGCTTTGTCTTTCTCCTTCCCCCATTTTCCATAAATACAGGGGTTATATGGGTGGATTAACTTCAGCTCAGGCTGCAGTGCAGAGATGTTCATTCCATAAGTCCTCCTTTAATTGGCAGCCCAGTATATGAAATACTTTCTCAAAAAGGGAAACAAGATTTTATGTGCTTCAGTAAATCTCTCTCATACCCTCAAGAAATATCAGACAGTATTGCATAGCCTTTTAAAATGCTAATTATTGGCATAAATTGTGCATTCTCTACAAAGTCTGCAAATTAGAACATCGTTTTAGATTGAAGTCTCTCTTTTTTTTCTTTTTTTCTTTTCTTTTTTTTTTCTGGTAAATAGCTTAAAACTTACCATTGAAGAACATCCCATATGTTCTGAGAAGAAATTTTAGAGGAAATGTCTGCCAAGCTCTCACAAACCATGCTAACACTTTCTGTTAGCACCTTCATCCCTGATATATGTGTGCTATTTGGTTTTGTTAGGGGTTTTTTTCCATTCTTTTACATTAGGGACATCAATCAGATGTGTCCTTTTGAAAAAATAAGATGAATACGGAGAAACGTTTTTTGACCGTTCACACTTTAAAGTGGAAACTAAGGAGAAGAGATGTCAGTGGGGTTTTTTTGCTTTTTAAAGGCACATTCTTTAGCAGGAAAGTTGTGGTTGCAGACACGTTAAATCTGTGACTCAAGCCACAGGTCTGTCCTTCAGTGTCACTGCTCTTTTCTTCCCTTATCAGTGGCTGGGTACCCCCAGCACATGTAGAAGGTCCTGTCAGAGCTCAGCATTGTCTGGGGCTGTGTTCAACTCTGGAGGACTTGAATCTTACTTGGGATATAAAATCACAGAATCCCTGAATGGTTTGGGTTGGAAGGATGCTTAAAGATCATCCAGTTCCAACCCTCTGCCTTGGGCAGGGACACCTTCCACTATCCTATCCCAGGTTGCTCCAACCTGGCCTGGAACACTTCCAGGAATCCAGGGGCAGCCACAGCTTCTCTGGGCAACACGTGCCAGGGCCTCACCACCCTCACAGCCAGGAATTCCTTCCCAATATCCCATCTATCCCTGCCCTCTGGCTGTGGGAAACCATTGCCCTTGTCCATTCCCTCCACCCCTTGTCCAAAATCCCTCTCCATCTCTTTTGGAGTCCCTTTAAGTACTGGATGCTCCATATGATGCTCAGGTGAGACAACCACCATGACACCCTGCGTTTTTTTGGAAATGGTGCTTGGAGGGACTCTGGGATTTCCAAAAGGGAATGCTTGTTCAGGTGCCTTTCATTTCTGCCATCCACAAAAAAATCTCTTGTCCATTTTATCTTTGCATTGTACATTTATTGTTGTTTCTATTGGGCTTCATTCCGCTCTGGGATGAAACTTCTGTGTTTATTCCAAGCTGTGTGAGCACAACAATTCATACACAGCACAAGAACGTGGCCTCACCTGAACAAGGAGTTGTAAAAGAAATAAAAAGAAAGTGCAAAAATATACACTTTATAACCCAGGTATGGAACACTCTGTAACCCAGGCCAGTGAGAGACACCCACCCAGAGCTCATTTGACAGGTTCTGTCCTCAGGTTACCGCCTTGAGAAGAACCTGGTGCAGCTCACATGATGCTTCTGCATCATTAAGCAGATCCTGTTGGTTACAGAGGTGAAAACAGAGCTCTTGTCCAGGGTAATTTAAAATTGTCTGCACTAATTTCATTAAGGAATGGAGCTCAATCTCCTCATTAATGTGGTCGGGTGCTGTGGTTGCAGAGTATCCTGGAAGTAGGTAAATGGAAAAGATGGACTTTTATCGATGGTTGGGTGAGCAGTTCTGGGGTAGATGTGACATAATTTTGTTTCTTCACTATGTAGTTAAACACATTTATTATCTAAATGTAGCACAGCAGCTGGTGCAACAAGCTGCTCCTGTCAGCACCAATATTAACTGGGAACTCATCTGGGAAGAGACAGTCTTCCAGGCTAGAACAGTGATTCAGCTGCCCCAGCATGAGCAGAATAATGTGCTGTGAGCTGCTTTGGTAGCCTAGAGATGGTTATTTATGGAAAAGATAGTATATTCTCTATTTCTCTGTAATACAAACCAAGATATTATGGCATAATGTACTTAGTTGGAGGGGGTTTTATTTGCCATCAGGTGCAGAATTCTGCAATTACCAGGTTTATGATAAAGTAGATGTTAGATTTAAAATAAATAATTTTGGCATATATTTTTATTTTACTATATGCACTTTCATGTTATTATTTGGAATATATTTTTCACTGAAGCCTCACCTCTGATTTTGTTGAACTTGTGCTTCTAGATTGGGAGGGGGAGATGTCATTACACATGTTGAATGTAGTTTAGAATTACAGAATGGTTTAGGTTGGAATGGACCTTAAAGTTCATCTAATTCCAACCTTGTGTCATGGACAGGGGAGGGACACCTTCCACTATCCCAGGTTGCTCCAAGCCCTGTCCAACCTGGCCTTGGACACTTCCAGGGATCCAGGGGCAGCCACAGCTTCTCTGGGCAACCTGTGCCAGGGCCTCACCACCCTCACGGGGAAGAATTCCTTCCCATATCCCATTTTTCCCTGCCCACTGTCAGTTTGAATCCACTTCACCTTGTCCTGTCACTCCAAGCCCTTGGATTCTCTCCATCTTTCCTGTAGGCTCCTTTAGGTACTGGAAGGCCACAATTAGGTCATCCCAAAGCCTTCTCTTCTCCAGGCTGAACAATCCCAATTCTCTCAGCCTTTCCTCATAGCAGAACTGCTCCATCCCTTTAATCAACTTGGTGGCCTCTTCTGGGCATTTAAGAAATGTTTACTATCCATGTTTCCAACCTCCTTAACAAAATCCTGTTGTTTTACCTGGCTTAGGTAAAGGTCAGACCTTTCACCTGACTTGGGTAGAGCTCAGACATTTAGGCTGACTCTGAATTTCATCATCTCCTGTGCTTGAGGGATGAATGGAGTAACTCTTCTGTATTTTTCCATAATTGCTGTAATGTTGTGTCACTTCTGGGCTGCTCTCACCCTAAAATTGGTCTCTGTCTGCCTCTGTCTGGATTTCCTCTTTGGATTCAAAAATTCCATTTGTCTGTGATGCTGTTTGTAGCACCAAAAAAATGCTGCCTGCATAAGCAA